TAATGAATGTGGCGGATGGAAAAAAACTAACGAAAAACATAAAAATACAATGTCTAAACCTAGACTTAGTTATATAAAAGAAAAAAAAAATTATGGATGTGCCAATTAGGGCTTATCAAAACCGACTAATGAATATGGGCTACAAAAATATTTTGGTCCAAACCCAATTATTGTTTATGAAGGATATAAGGCTCACGAAATTTCGATGGCATGAGGTGTAATTACCTTAATTTTATTAAGGGTATCCCTGTAATCAACCATCCTCAAATTCATTCTGAGGGCGCCACGTAGGATTTCGCACTTCATATATAATTATATAGATTTTTAATTTGGTTACAATTTTTCTTATATTAATAAACCGACGGTTACATGGAACATCTCTACCGTAGAGTTAAAATTCTTTTACAAACTTATACTTACAAAATAACACACATATCTTTTCCAACAAAAAAATATAGTTTTCCGAACAAAAAAAAAAAAAGATAAATTCTCCTTTTCATGGATTTTTATTTTGAAGATTTTCAATATTCTAAATTTTGTTCTAAACTATTTCATGAATTGGCCTATAGCTGTACAATAACTATTTGAAATTTTTGTAATGTTGCAATAACCATCATGCGAATTTGGACTCCAGCATCAACAATGAATGAATTGAAGAACTCAAGTCAGTTTATATAATCGAACCGGCAACAAACAAAAGTAATCTAATATCGGTTTTCTTTCTTCTAAGCTGAACAACTTAACCTTTACTTTAAACCAACTATATTTATTTGATTATATCAAATTCTAAAATTTTGAAAAGTTCATATAAAAAAAATACATGTAATCAAATGGATGAAACTCGTGATCATTTGTTCTTCAAGTGGGAGTATACGACTGCGATATAGAATAATCTGGCGCTCCGGATCCGGCTCCTAAATCAGTATTACACAATCGATTGGACTCATCTCCTTCCGCTTAACCAGTCAAACCATTGACAATCTCACTCTTTTTCTAGTAAGGTATCCTTTCCAGTCGATGATTTACTATATCTAGAAAGAGCGAAATTGTCAACGTCATGGAGAAAACCGAACTCCTTCTGAAGCTATCATCTGAGCTCCATCCGACGTGCAGGGGATCATGACTACGATGAAAGTCTTAGTTCATGGTTCGGGACTCGTTAACACAAAACCTATTTAATCTCTTTGCATTTACTTATGGTTTTCTAGCTGATTAAATTTAAACAACATATGCAGTTTATGTAAAACATATTTTTTTATTAAATTACTAGATAGTTACCCGCGTATCCGCGTTATACGCGGGATAATATGAACGCGAGTAAAATCAATATAGTTTAGTTTAAAAAGTCATCTATAGTTATTTGGAAAATTACTATACAGAATCCAAAACATGTTTC